CTGAACAACAACCACGCAGAGCACCATGAGCTGCCTGTGCAGACCCAGTCAAACGATAGCAACAAAAGAACCCTGAGTAACATGATCAGTTTACCCTAATTGTTTTTTCTCATAAATGTTATTTTTATATTTGGCTTACATTCAAAGTGCAATAGAATATTTTGATATGTTTTATATCATATAGTTTCATTCGTAAGTAAATAGTTTATTTTGACTTATTAATATTTTATTACTCTATTTTAATTGCAACATATGACTGATTCATTTTTTGAAAATTTTTACTTTTTAAAAATTATATTTGTTTATTTTTTATTTACTAAAATACAAAATCTCAATTTTAAAAATAAGGAATTTATTGATGTATTACTCAAACAACCAGTTTGTAAATATCATGCTGCAGTGTCCTCAATGCACCGTATATGAGGCTGACTGGGAGGAGAGGCACACACTGGTCTGTCTCCGTTCACAGCTCCTCCTCAGACTCTTCTCAGAGGAAACTTTGGGATGACATTTCCGTTTGTTCAAGACTGGAACAAAATTTCTGGGGTGATACATTTTACCTTGGAATAAATGAATGAATGCAGAAAAGTTTAAAGATAAATTACCCCTAGGAAAACAAATAGATTACAATGATTTTCATTTCACTATATTGTTTCCTGACTTTATTTGTGAAAATGTTTCGAGCTTGACAATTTTCTAATCAGAAAACATTGGAAGATAGTTTTTTCAGCAACTTTGGTGCACAGTAAGTATCATTCTGAGAAGTGGAGAGGATTATACTACATACAATAAAGATAATTTTATCCAAAAAATATGTACACACGCATCACTTTGGCCTCACCGTACTTACCGTGAACATTGACTTTTTTTTTTTTGGTATGCTGTAAGAGTTTAATAAAACAAGTTAATGTACATTTACATAGTGGTAAAATTCTAGAAAGTTCTTTCAGTAGGACTTTTAAAATGATTAGAGCAAAAAGTTTGCAGCTTCATTTGATTGTGGTGAAGTCAGGCACCATAGCAATGGCACTGGCTGAGCTGGAACTGGCTATGTCCTCATAACCTGGGAGTGGATCTAAATGAGGTTCTTTTTCCCTCCTTCTCAGGTTCACCTGGCCATTGGCTTCCTCATATGTCGGTGGTGGATCACAGTTGGATCCACCAAAAGTAATGTTCAGATAAGTGATGTTCCGAATTGTGGCCAAAGGCATATACTTTTTGAAATCAAAATATTCAAGCAATGTACAAATTCAAAAATGTAATATTTTGAAGAACATTGATTTCGAATGGGAAAGTTAAAAAATATATTGTTACCAGAGCTAAAAGCAATTGGAACAGTTGTTATCTTCACATGCACAAGATCTATAATAACTCCATGTCCGTCTGGTCAGGCGGTGGTTGTCAAACCTTGAGGGCAATAACAGTGAAAACTGTCTATCATCAGCAGATGACTTGCATTACTACTATATTTCATACATAATACCCTTTTGAGTGATATTTCATGTTGTGTGAATTTTTTGTTGATTTCATATATAAGCATAACACGAAAAAGGAAAAAGCAGAAGAGAGGAGTTTCCAATTTTGGACTCAGAATAAAGTTAAATATGGAATTAAAAGGAAGTTGTAGAAAAGTAATATGTCCTAATATTGAAGACAATTTGGAACATAACAGTTACTAGAGAAAAGAAAAAATTTGCATAAATTACAGACATTCCTGTGCATATTTTTCTAGATCAATGATTATGAATATGTGTGTACATATATTATTTTTCTTTAATTTCTTGTATAATATTTCATGCTTTTTCTATTAAAATTTTCTATCTAATAATCTGTAATGAATTGTAACATGTTTTCAGTATATTCAAAATAAGGAATTTGCTGATGGATTACTAATTCAAGCTGCCAATTCATAAATAACATGTAAATATGTAGCATATTATTCAAATTTCTGAATCTATCACCAAGTAATACCTTCTCCTAAAACAATATTGCATCAAATTATTATTAATGTTTTCTTCAATACCTATGCTTTGTAGAATCCATATTGAAGGTATTCCTGGTTATTTTTCTTTGCAGTACGAATAAAGATTTTAATAAGTGCTTGTTCCTCAATATGTTGTTTGGGCTTATCTACCATCACACGTGCATCTTTGTTATTTCATATATTTGTGGTCTCTTCCCACTTTCCCATCTTTGTTATAAGATGTGATTTTATACCATTCTAATATGTATTCATTTCAATGATTTATGAAGATTTTGCTGGCTTTGGGGGAGCAAAGCACTCAGTTGATACTCTAACTTTGTAAATGACATTTATGTTAAACAAATTCTTAAATTTTTCTTTAGTTTGAGACTAATAAGTTTTCTTTTAAATATATGCTGGAAAGCATTCATCTTATATTATAAACCACATAATATACTTCGATGGCAATCAGAAACAAACATTTAAATGAATTACAATTGCACACTTATTTTATTAGATCACTGCATAGCTCACAAATTGAAAGTTATTTTTCTGAAATAAATTATTATCAACTGTGACACAGTGCCAGGTCAGAACGTCATACGATATACATATAATTTTAATGGAACATAATACAGCACAGCAAACAATGAACAGTTTTTCTTACTTCAACACAGTTCATGTTGATACAACAGCAGCCCGGGGGGGACAGCTCACATTAACTGGTCCTGGCAAACATATTTAGTCATAAATTTCGGGTAAGGTATCCAGTGTAAAATGATTATGAAAACTCAAAAGTACACTCCCAAATTAGTTTGTGCTCACAAAAGGTAAAAGACTGGAGGAAATTACTATTACATAAACAAACCATAGCAACTCTTGAATAAATTTTCTTTGGATTTTAATGTTTTTTATGTTTTTCTAGGGAATAAGAGTTATGTCTATGGCCAAGTCACTCATTTAAGCATAAAATATTCACAGAAGAAAATTTTTATTGTTCCATCCTTCATAGTGTTAAATATAAAGAAAGTGTTCCCTGGGTAATTTCTTCTCTAAAATTCTAGACAATAAATCCTGACTAAACTCTCAGATGTAAACATTATTCCTGACAAGTGTATATGACTATGTGTCAATTTAAGGAATAAATAGATGAATTTCAGCAGAAACTTACAGCATCCCATGAGAAGATGAAGTGTTAGGTTTTAACGTAGGACTTCCAAGGGAAGGGACAAAATCTCTTGTTCATTAAATACTTGAACTTTTCACCTTGGAATCAGGCCAAGGAATCTTCCCGGAAATTGCTCCCAGAGGATAAGCAAAGGCTGCAGTGTCCTGAATGCACCGTATACGAGGCTGACTGGGAGGAGAGGCACACACTGCTCTGTCTCCATTCACAGCTCCTCCTCAGAATATTTTCAGGGGAAACTTCGGGGTGACGTTTCCATTTGATCAAGACTTGAACAGAATTTCTAGGGTGCTACATTTTACCTTGGAATAAAAGCATGAATGCAGAAAAGCTTAAAGATAAGTTACCACTAGTAAAACAAACAGATTACAATAACTTTCAGCTCACTCTTTGGTTTCCTATTAAATTCCTGAGAATATTTTGGGCTTCACAAATTTCTAAACAGACAACATTGGAAGATAAGTTTTACAGTCTCCTTGGTGCACAGTAAGTAACATTTTGATAATAGCAGGGGATTATACTAAATAAGATAAAGAGGATTTTATCCAAAAAAATACGTACACACACACACACACACACACACACACACACACACACACACACACATCTTTTGGGCCTCATCATAAGTAATGTTCAGAATTGAAGAAAAATGAATATAGAGTCTGTGTCAAAGTGTTCCAGCAATCTATATATTCTAAAATATAATTTTTTAGGAACATATATTTTGAATGGACATGTTAAAAAATAACATTGTTACCAGAGCTGAAGGTTCAGTGCCTTTGACTGCTGGGAGTGAGGTGGGGAGGTGGAGAAAAGTTATTTTGTTGGAAATAAAGGTCTTTACTCCACAGGAGAGACAGAAGCCCCTACTACCCACAAATTTTGTATCTCCCCGAGTTAATTTCTGCCAAGGCTTTCATTTCTAGATGACTCCAAGCTCCATTCCTTCATTTTCCAATTTAAAGCAGACCTGACCTCCTATGGCGGTGCCTGAATATTCTGTTCAGGGAGCCATGATATGTTTCAGACTCAGCACTGATTCAGTGTGCAGTCCTTTGTGTACGGACAGGAAGAGCACTCCTGGTCTCTACCAGGGGAGGCTGGAGAAATAGCCTATTGCTAAAAATCGAAAAGATTGGGCTGGGGATTTAGCTCAGTGGTTTCACCACCTGGCTCACAAGCAGGTTCTGAGTTCCATCCCCATAATCAAAAATTAAAATAAAAAAGATTTAAAGATTAACTTTGATGTCTCTGCTACCGTATTGTAAGGAATGTAATATTAATGTGAATCATCTAAATCCCCAGGCTGAAGCAACTTTAATTAGTATAATAAGTCTTTGGGAACAAAAGGACCATGAATAATACACTAAAAACGGTTTTCAGCATGATTAATTATAGGTCCTTATCAGGATTGGTAAAACAGGTTCTGTCCAGCAACACAAATTATAAGTCTGTTATCAGAAATAAAAATATCCAGAATCAGTGGCAATATGTTACTGTTCTGTTTCACCTAAGTAATCTCTGCGCCCTTTTTCTAAAGTGAAGGATGTGGATAAGGACCCTCATTGTATAACATTTCCTGAGAATTGAATGTCTTAACAGAAAGAGTTTAGAATAGCATTGGTTTCTTGCTAAAAATAGGATGTGATCATTTACTGTATCAGAAACAAGTGTCATTTTTATACTCATGACTTCACGTGGTGATTATATGTTTTCAATCTTCTTCACAATGCTTTTCATTAATTTCTGGGAAGGCTATAAAATGCTGAGCAATTCCCATAAAGAAAGCATTTCTGGAGTCAGGGTAATTATTAAAATGTATTATTCAACAGATAAGTGCAGTCAAACAACATGGGTAGATGGAACTCCACCAGTGTGCCTGATTTCATCCTCGCGGGGCTGACGGACTCTGCAGAGACACAGCTGGTCCTCTCCGTGCTCTTCCTCCTGATTTACCTGATCACGGTGCTGGGGAACTCGGGGATGATATTGATCATTCGCCTGGATCCCCAGCTGCACACACCCATGTATTTTTTTCTTACTCACCTGTCATTGCTCGACCTCAGCTACTCAAGTGTCATCACCCCTAAAACCTTACAGAACTTACTGACTTCCACCAAGAGCATCTCCCTCCTGGGCTGCTTCACCCAGATGTTCTTTTTTATACTCTTTGTTTCTGCTGAATGTTTCCTTCTCTCCTCCATGGCCTATGACCGCTATGTAGCTATCTGCAACCCTCTGCGCTATTCAGTCATTATGTCCACAAGACTATGCTGTGCCCTGCTCTCTGGCTGCTATGTTATGGGTGTTTTTTATTCCACTGTGGTTGAGATTTCCATGAGCAGATTGCACTTCTGTAAATCTAAAGTCATCCAGCACTTCTTCTGTGATACATCTCCTATATTAGCCCTGTCCTGCAGTGAGACATATGAAGTTGAAATCATTATATTCATTTGTGCTGGGTCAAATATAGTGCTGTCCCTCAGCACCATATCTGGATCCTATCTGTCCATCCTCTCCACTATCTTGAAAATCAGTTCCACTGCTGGAAAGAAAAAAGCCTTCTCCACCTGTGCCTCCCACCTCCTGGGAGTCACCATCATCCTGCAGTGACATATGAAGTTGAAATCATTATATTCATTTGTGCTGGGTCAAATATAGTGCTGTCCCTCAGCACCATATCTGGATCCTATCTGTCCATCCTCTCCACTATCTTGAAAATCAGTTCCACTGCTGGAAAGAAAAAAGCCTCTTCCACCTGTGCCTCCCACCTCCTGGGAGTCACCATCTTCTACAGCACTACCATCTTTACTTACCTAAAACCGAAGACGTCCTACTCCTTGGGCAGGGATCAGGTGGCTTCTGTGTTTTACACTATTGTGATCCCGATGCTGAACCCTCTCATTTACAGCCTCAGGAACAAAGAGGTGAAGAATGCAGCCCTGAGAGTCCTGCAGAAGAGAGAGTATTCTAGACAATTAAAATAACAGTGATGCTAGGCATTTACACTTTTGCCCTTATCTTCTTTTCTTCTGATAAATGCTTTGTCCTCATTATTAAAAAAATAAATATTTTTTTTCCCATTCCAGCTGCTCTTTTTACTTAAACATGATACTGGATATTTCGAGAAGCAGGTACTTACAAATTCACATTATATTTTGGAGTCATAAATTAAGTCCTAACTCTAAGATGTTAAAAATATGTACTATTAAAATTTTTATGCAAAAAGTGGAAATTTTGGCAATTTTGTAAACTTCAGTGTAATATTTCTGCAAATATCAATTTAAAAATAATTTTACATTGAAAAAGCACTTCATGTTTTATATTTCCTTCTGAGTGATTATCAGCAGCAAATTTTGGGGCAATTGCTTTCAACTGAAAATTACCCCATTTAGACTTTACATGTGGTGGTTCTCTATCATTTGACGAACACTAATTCACTGAAATAGTAAGATTCAGGATGCCCAATTGCACGATATATAATAATTCCATGTCTCTCTTAGGAGATGATGAACATAAAACTTTTAAGACAAAATAAGTGCCAGTATTTGTCATAAGAAGTGTAGGAATCCTATTATATTCTGACATAGTGGACTCTACATATTTCTGAGTTGTATTCCTTTATGTTTCACAGATCTCTTTTATTCATTTTAATTTACACACTAGCACACAGATAAAAATACATGGAAGCCGTTTTTACCTTAGGATTAGGTAATGTATTGAAGTAGAAGTAAGTTATAGGAAAGTGAGATATCTTAATGTTGCAGACAGTTTAGAAAATGATGATTATATATAAAAGAGGAACATACACATTGTTTCCTGTTTTGTGCATGTTTTTCTAATTCAGTGGTTACGAATATATATCTATATATTTATGTATACATATTTAACATGATTTCTGTCATATCTTAGAGTCTTTGTCTCTTTATTGAGTTCAAAATTTGCTATCAGATAAGCTCTGTAAAATTAAAATGCGTAAGATCACCATGTACTCAGCAAAGGAGAAAAATTACTACTTTCACTGTATATTGTTTAGAACCTGAAATTTAGAACCTGAATTTGCCAATTTGGAAATCATTGAGCAATAGTGGATTTTAGGTGTGTTCCTGTGAGACACGTGGAGACCAAAACTTCCATCATTTTGGGTTTCTAAAGTACAGTGTTTCCATCTCAAGAATTAATATTTATGAATAATTTAGTACTTTAAGACTGCTAATTATTTTATCCAAATAGTTTAAATACTTACATTGGCAAATCAATGACAAAATTTTACTTCATCAATATTGCTTCCAATCTTTTTTGAACTTCAGTATCTATCTTTTCTAGCATCTATATTTGTAGATATTCCTGGTTGTCTTTCTCTGTGATTAGGATTAAGAATTTAATAAATATTGACTGTTTGATATATGGTTAGTGCTCTTCTCTCATCACAAAAAGGTCTCAGGAATTCCATGTATTTATGTATTATTTCCACTCTCCACTCTTTGGTTATTTTTATAAGGAGCAGCTTATCTTACAATCAGTTATTTGTCTTTTCATGATTTAGAAAATACATTCTATTGGTTTTTCTTGGCAAACACATCAATAGACTGTATGACCCAGTAGTTGACATTTTTGTTAAGAAAGACTTTAATTTTAGTGAAATAAAAGCTGATTAATTTTCTGTTACATGGGATGGAAAAGAATTATATTACACTATTACATAAACATAATATAATCTATTTATCTATGGGGGCCGTTTTGAATAAACTGAGTGGCTCATGGGCATTGGAGAACCCAGAAATCTGAAGCAAGGACTGGGTGTACAAGGAACTTGGGACCTTGGTCAGGACCTGCACACAGATTATGCAGATGCTCTCTTCTGCTGTCTCCCTCATTCTCAAAACAGACAACATTGAAGAGTCAGGAGTTAAGTCACAGGGAGTAATAATTTCTGTGTATGTTCCCCAGGAGCCAGGCCTGAAAACTGAAGAACTGGGCCCATGGTAGGGACGTGCACAAGGATTATGCTGACCCCACGTACCCCCACCCTGATCCCAAGCACAGGGAATGGAGGTAACTGAACTCAGGCTGCTCAAGGGCAAACCGGACAGCTCAGAAGTCAGCACCAAGGACAGAGCACAGCTCCAGACTCTCCCAGAAGGCTTCTCTTATTTGGGCAAAGGGAGGCAGGAAAGAAGAAAAGAAAGATAATTGTGCTGTTCCTTCTGTTCCTATGCATCTTTCGCCAACGGACAGCAGCAGTGCTGAACTCAGCGATCAGTGTGCTGCCCTCCACTTGAGAGCTGGTGCTGTGCTTTGGGGGAGAGCAGGGCCACACGGTCATGAGTGAGATCAGACAGGGAGAGTCCTGGGCTCACTGTTAACACCCCCAGTCCCAGAGACGGCCGTCCAGAGGATTCACTGGCATCAGCAGGGCCTCCTGACTGGAGCCCAGCCATGAACCCAGAGGCTCTGTGGAGCCGGGTAACGATCACAGGCCTGCAACTGCTACATAAGCAGCATTGCCTAGGAGGCTCCCCCACTGGACTGAACCCCTGTGCTATAGCACAATTTCCTGTAAAATAAATACTCGCTTTTTGTGGTCCTGGAAGCATGCTCATGATTTATTTTTTGTGTAATATGGGCTCAAAAAGTACTGTCTGTCTGCTCAGGAATTAAGTTCATGAATAGGGCTGAACCCAAAGAAAGAGGAAAAAGCACTAAGGGAAGTTAGCACTAGGGTGCTGCAGAAGCTAGCACTCAGCAGAGCTCTCTGACTGTGTGTGGCACAAACCAGCCCTGGAGGGCGGCGACTGCAGCCTCACAGACCAGCCATTTAAAGTCACCAAACCTTGCCCAAGGGAAGCTGGCACCGCAGGAGGAAAGCAGCAGCTGAGTCCAGCACCCAGCGTGGGTGACCGATGGTCAGCACAAGCCTGCAGTGGATGGAGGTGGCCAACAGCAGCCCTGCCCAGGAACCCCTGGGTCACGTGTGTCAGTCAGCACCATCTGGGGTCATGGAGTCCCAGCAGGGCTGCAAGCAGAACGACACTGTACCAGTTCAGAATTTCCATCTCAATGGGACCCAAAGACCCCTAGTTTCATTGACAACACGACCAGTCCCCCTCCCAGCACCACTAAGGACCAGGACTCGCTCTCCGTGGGCCTCCTTGATGGGAATCGAACTCTGCACGCTCGCATCTGCACACGGCTTCCCTGCTCGGTCTCCACCTGCAACAGATTCCTCCCCGGGTCCTCAGGGCTCCTCCTTCGCGTGTTTGCTTCGCAGACACATTTTTGCTGAAGTCGAGCTCGACCGCGTGATTTCTCGTTGCTGCCCCCTCGTCCTCCTGCAACTCCTGCACCTCCATTGATTGTGCTCTTTTCCATGCAATTTCCTGACTTAATATATAGTGGGAATAATTCAGGAGAGAGACTTAATTGAAAATTCACAATAATTTTTCTCAGACTCAAACTTTGTGTTATTATTTTCACTCTTTGCTTCCTCCTTTAAGATAAATGATGCTGAATGAAACATTTCAGCTTGACTATTATGTCTTCATTTCTTATAATTCTTTTTAAGACATTTGATGAGATTACATACAAAGTGATTGTCTACTGAATTCATTGAAAAAAATTTATTAGATTCAGGGTCAATTGTGTCTTTCTGTTCACTTTCGTTTTACAAAACAAAAAGAAAAACACAGTGAGACAGGAACCCTCACTGCAGAGCGCAGACGACAGAGATGGAGCAGGTGACAGACAAACCAGGATGGAGATTCTGCCCCACTGCAGTGACTCCTTAAGATGTCCCAGCATCAGCTGGGAAAGCTCGGTTTGCCTCATGAGGGATGGGACACCACAGAATAGGTAACACATGAACGTGCTCGATGATAAAATGTCAGCCTGCCAGAGTCCTGGGCCATTCTGATATCTCAGCTATTTAGTTAGGATGACATCGAACACACAGAATTGTAAAAGTTTGGTAAAGCTAGAATTATGCTTCCCAATAAGCTACAGAAGCACAAAGGCAAACACTTTGGAGAAAATATTTTATAAGCAAAATAATAAAGACTATTGACTTTTCATGCTTTTCTATGAATTTCGTTTTCTATTTTTTTAAAATAATGGTGACTTATTTGTAAGGTCTTCACACTTTTCAATACAATATATTTTCTGGTGATTTTTTTAATATTCCACCCCTTATATTGATAGTCATAAATACATCTCTGTGAATATCTTCTCCAGCAACTTAGTAAAAAATACCTGGTGGTTTACCTCAATGCAAATGTTTTTCTCTGAGAATCTATACACTATTTGTCACTTTCAAAAGGAAAAAATGAATTTCAGCAACAGTTTCAAGGATTATAAAAAAAAAAGGTGAATTGCTTGTGGGTCCTACAAGGGGAGAAAAAAAAATACTTTGTGAATTTAGACCTGAACCTTTGTCCTTGGAATCAGGCCAGGCCACCTTCCCTGGAAATGAGGCCCCGAGGATGACCAATGTCACGTTTCTCCCAGTGCCCATTACCTGAGCACCTGGAGTTATTAACGGGGAGGGAAGGCGCCCACGGTCCTGTTCAATACACAGTTCCGCCTTCAGATTCTTTCTGGATAAAATCTCCTCCTAGAGTTTCCCTTTCATCAAGAGCTGAACTGAATATAGTTTATCTGAAAATAATAAAATGAATACACAAAAGCATGAAAATAAATAAGGTCAAGAAACACATCTACTAGAAATTTTCAGCTGTTTGTTATAGTATTTTATTTCTGAGAATAACTTGAGTTTGACAAGATTCTCCAGAGAGGAAAAAATTTGTTTTCAGCATCTTTTTCTCACAGTATCATTATTAAAATCAGAGGGGATTGAGATATGCAAAATGAAATGGAAACGTTGCCAGGACATTTAGCATACGTGTGATTTAAGCCTTACCTTGAGTAACGTTAAGATTTGTGAAACTAAACATAGAGAATGGGTAGAATTGAAGTCTTTAACACATGTACA